AACTATTTGTAATTATTTTAATTAACTGGAACGTGGCTATCTTGGACAAAGTGAAGTTTTGTGTGTTGGTGATTTCTTTTTCTACTATAAATGCCTCTGATGATGGCTCCGTGGTGAGCCGAAACATGTAAGGCAGGTGGTGACGAGGTGGAAAACTTAAAAAAGTGTCACATTTGACGGAAGGAATTTGATTGTTAAAAATCCTCATTTATTCACCTCCATCTTTGATGCAACTTAGAAATGTTTACAATCTCTTTAATTTAAGATAACATTAAAATCATACCAATTGCTGCATGTTTGAACCTTACGTGGCCATCTTCAGGCAAGTGTTCACTTTTTGAAGCTATCGCAATGCACTAGATCTCAAGTCAATTTATTTCCATGCTATTACATTATCACCGTTCACAATAAAATTTGTTTGAGAACAAAACTCTCTTGCAGTTCTGTGTTACTTTTCCTCTTGCAATGTCCATGTTTGTGCCCCCTTCATATGTATGTACTCATTTGTTGGGCATATGAGCCTTATGAACCTTTTTAAGTTACAATGAAGACAGAGGTGAATGAGTGCTATATGAGTGCAACAAGATGCTCAACTATAATATTGTAAAATCCTCCCTGTACATTATAGTGTAAAATGCAATGTTACACAGTACAAAAGTTTATTTTTATTAGACAATAAATACACATTCAACATCTGCTCTCAAATGTATATGCATGTGGGCACTCCTGGAACTGCTGCTTCTCAATCATGATTAACCCTGAGTTGGCATAGATTCCTCTAATGTGTGCTGTTAATCAAGAAGTAGGACAGCTTCCTCTGGATCAAGATATGTTTCCTTACATCGCCGTGCTACTATTATTTTCAAATGCATCATTTCTTTGTGGAGTTCATCTACATATACTTCATTCAAATATTTGCAGTTCTCAAGGTGTAGTTCAGCCAAGTGTGGGAGGTGAGTTGAGATTAGGTGGAAGTTGGATCCTGTTAAGTCATTATAATTGAATTTGAGAACTTGCAATTCTCTGCATTTCACAATATGCTCAATTGCCTTATCTGTCATCTTATAACATCCTGATATATCAAGTTTCTTTAGACTGCAGCAGCCTGCACCAACATATTCCATGCTTCTGTCTGTGAGATCCATGCACATAGATAAATCCAGATGGTGTATATGGATGCATTTTCCAATATATCGGAGTCCCTCATTCTGTAGGCTCTGACTACCAGAAATGTTTAGATGTTGTAACTGTGGACAATTCTCAAAGATTGCAGTCACAGCTATATCACTGATGTAATAAGATTCGCTTAGGTCAAGATGCACCACCTGTGAAAGTGAGCCACTCAGAAAAAACATGGGGAAATTATTCACAATATCTTCTGTACAATAACGGAATGCAAAATATTTTAAATTTGTAAGTTTTATAAGCGACTGAATATCATCATACAGCAAATGATCATTACAGTTCTCAATGTCAAGGTGTTGAAGTGTGGTGCATTCACTTAAATGTTCTGCCATACTTTTTGTCACAGAGATTTTACAAGAAAAAGATAGAAGTTGATGTCTCTTTTTCCGCAGTAAATTATGTATATCTTCATCTAACTGGCCATGATATCCTATATGTATGTGTTGCAGTGATGGACATCCATCAGCTATTGGTATCAGAACTCCTTCCCACATTACCACACTGCACACAGAGTTTCCATCTAAACACAAACTTCTTAGTGACTGACACTGGCCAATAAGTTCTGAAAATTTTATTAACTCTTCTGGAAACATAGGATATGGAAGTGGAACTTTCAGAGACTCAATGTGTGGGAAGTGTTGTATTATTTTCTGTATGAGTGGAATATTCATGTTATGCGAGTTATGAAGATCAATACTTCGTATGTTTCTACAAAACTTACACAAAGCATCAATTACTATATTTTCTGATCTTCGTGTAGCAGAATATGATCTCAGTGCTGGCATGTTTTCCAGATACTTAGCTATTTCTTTATCAGTTATTTCTTTTCGAGGATTGAAGACAGCATTTCTCCATAACTTGTTGTCTCGAGACACTTCCCTCCAACGCATGCACACATTCTGTGTTGACACTACCAACTCTTCAATGTTCAAGTATGTGAATATCTTCAGAAGTACCTCATTTGGTAAATCATCAAATTGTTTCCCAGATGCCATCTTCTTGAGCTGTAACAGTGAAATACACATTCACATCATTCCCCCTTTTCCTTACTATTTTAAGAGTATTACAAGCCAAAATAAGTAGTGAAAAAATGTAGGAGTCTGTATAAAGCTTCTTTATGGCCACAGGGAGGGCAGATTATCCTTAGACTGGTCATTGCAGCTGACACAGCACTCTTCTAGCATAGACCTGCCATGGTAGCTGATAATTTGTCAGCCAGTTTCCCACTGTAGTTTAATTTACATTATTTTATAGAGGAGTGACAACCCTCTCCTTCTAAGCAAGCCTCACATGTTGAGAACATGTTTCTACACACACAACGAAGCTGCTGCACAAGAATTGTGTTATTTCCTTCAAGTTCTTCCAAGGAGTGAGAATTGTTAACATATACGATTGTGGAGGCCACAGACCGTGACTTATGACTTCTTCAGCAGACTTCATCAAATATGTTCACAGAACCTTTTGCAGTGTATAACATTGCATAAATTGCCCATACAATTTTTCAGCATCAGTCAGTCGACTGAAGAAGGGTGACAGACTCTTATCTCTCATAATATTTGGAATTTTGTTTCATAAAAAACATAGGCCCAATTATCCTCCACACACTATACATGTCCCTTTAAACATTTCTTTTTATCCAGCACTAGTCTCATAGAAAGTAATTTTGTTATTGTATTGTAAATCATTGCTTTAAAAACCACTGCACTGTCAGCCTACTTCCTATGAAACTTTCTAAAACATGAAGAATGTTGTACAAAGATATCATATACAAATTCTCTGTCCAATACTATACTTCATTTCTGCACACACTATTTCACAACACTGGCAACTGTACTCATACTCTCATGGACAAGTAAACACACAGTGCTACCGACAGAAGCCAGCAAGCATCTGGTGACTAAGCGACAATTCTGCGGCCGGCATTGGACAGGTGTGGGAGAATAAATTTCTAGCCTTATAGTCTAAGGATATCTGTTCTCTCTGTATAATTTCTACTTTGCTTTTATTCTAAAGTTCTTAAAAAAATGTCTCATCATTCTGTAAGATGGATACAGGGATGAAACATTTATTTCATTACATTTTAGAACTTGTATTTGAAATAATTTCCAAGTTCATAAATACTTAACAAGATGGGCATTGAGTTTTATGTAAACATTTGAGTAAAATTCTAGCCCTATGTGGTTCATATGACCTGGAGTGTCTATTTAAATTTCTGCTTTAGTAACACTTCCTTAATATACACCATAAAAATCTGTTCATCAATCACAAACAATAAACCACAGCCTCATAAATCAGTATGCTATGCACAAAGAACATTTAATAAGTAGGTTAAATGTAACACAAAACAATGCCAGTCTTAACAATTTGCGGACGGCGCATCCTTTAAAAGGTTTTTCGCTTTTAAACATGGTGGACTGTTCACATGTTAACAGGTTTTTAAAACACAATAAGTTGCAACACACTATACATCTCTCTGGCTCCACCTAGCTAGCATGTAGCTGCTTGCAGCTGCGTTATAAGGCTCTGGAATGTCTGCTGACCAATCAGTTACTAGACCTCGCTGTAAATCTATGCCCCTGCAAAGGAAGATAAATGCCTTTATTTCTTCAAGCTTTACGTAGCAAGCTGTCAGTCAGTAGTTCAATGTGGATCAAAGACCAAAGCGGTTGACACCTAAGCGATTTCTTGGAGAACAAGAAATATCTGACTTCTTCTCTGATGAGCTATCTGACGTCCCTTGTGAGTCTGCTAGTGATACGGACTCACAATCTGATAGTGAGTGAAGCAGGGGCAAACAAAAAAATTGTGACCACAAACAGGGAAAGTGAAAGTAAACGTGACCCTACCTCCGACGAATGTGCGGGTAGCAACATTGCGGGGACAGCCACATGGGGAAAAGTAGACAAAACGCCTGCTTTGGGACAGTTTACTTGAAATCCAGGGGTGAAGCAAATTCCATCAGACCCTATGCAAGTGTCTGAAGTAGCGGAACTGTTTTTTGGAGATAGTTTCTTTGACATGCTGTGTCAGGAATTAGCGGAACTGTTTTTTGGAGATAGTTTCTTTGACATGCTATGTCAAGAATTAGCGGAACTGTTTTTTGGAGATAGTTTCTTTGACATGCTATGTCAAGAATTAGCGGAACTGTTTTTTGGAGATAGTTTCTTTGACATGCTATGTCAAGAATTAGCGGAACTGTTTTTTGGAGATAGTTTCTTTGACATGCTATGTCAAGAATTAGCGGAACTGTTTTTTGGAGATAGTTTCTTTGACATGCTATGTCAAGAATTAGCGGAACTGTTTTTTGGAGATAGTTTCTTTGACATGCTATGTCAAGAAACTAACAGATACTATCTCCAACACCGTGAACATTATGACAGAAGTTATAAGGCGCTGAAGTGGGTGGATGTCACTTCGGCAGAAATGAGAAAATTTTTTGCAATTATCTTTCTAATGGGCCATAGAAGGAGGGATAATCTGAAAGAGTATTGGTCAACAGATCCGTTTTTAGAAATTCCAATTTTTGGCAAACTGAGCCATAAGAGATTTGAGCAAATTTGGTGGTGTTTGCATTTCAATAATAATGAACTGCAACCACAATCAACAAGCAGGCTTTTCAAAATTCAGCTCTTATTGAACTTTTCGTTCAGAAATTTCAGACAGTTTATAAGCCAAACCAACAACTGTCTTTGGACGAATCTGTGATTCCTTGGAGGGGAAGGCTTCGTATGTGAACATATAATCCTGGGAAACTTGCAAAGTATGGCCTACTTGTTCCTGTAATTACTGAAAGCACTTCAGGCTATATTGGAAATTTAGAAATTTATTCTGGTGAAGGAAAGAAATTGCAAGAAAGTATTCTTTCCGTTTTGGAACCCTATCTTGATCAAAATTACCATGTCTATCAAGACAATTATTATAACAGTGTGGCAACTGCAGAACACCTATTTTCGAGAAAAGTACGTGTTTGTGGAACAATTAGGGTGAACAGAGGCCTTCCTCCAGATCTGAAAGAGGAATTTAAATCCCTGAAACGTGGTGAAACCACATTCAGGAGGAAGGGGGATAGGGGGATATTTTTCTTCAGTCCTGGAGGGATACTCTTGTTGTAAATATGATTTCCACAATTTACAATTCAAGCATGGTTGATGTTCAAAGGAGACATGGACAGGTAAAGAAGCCTGTTTGTATTTCCGAGTATAGTATGTTCATGAAGGGAGTTGATAGAGCCGATCAGTACTTGGCCTATTATTCTCTTCCTCGGAAAACAGTAAAGTGGACAAAGAAAGTTGCCTTGTGGCTTATAAATTGTGCCATTTTCAATTCATTTTTGGTTTTCAAAAATCTAAACCCTCATTCAAAATTGAAATACAAGGCATTTCTGCTGAATGTGGCAAAAGCCTGGGCTACAGACCACACGGTGGCGGCAGACATAGTCTTAGTATGACCGGGGCCGTCTACTCTCACCCCACGCAGGCCTCATTTTGACCCCCCTGGGCGACTCTCAGGTGATATGCGGAAACATACCCTCGCAAAAATTGTGAAGAGTGAATATTTCAAGGGGAAGCAGCCTTCTAGGCAATGCCATGTTTGCGCAATTCACAAGAAAAGGAGTAGGACTGCCTACATTTGCAAGTTTTGTGTAATGCCACTTCACAGAGGGGAATCTTTCGAGAAATATCACACCCTCAAGCACTTCTAGAAGCATTGGTAAGTGTTCTCAGAAAATGTTAGTTCATAAAATTAATTAGGTGATTTTATATTAATTTTTAAAGTGAACAGTGCACAAGTTAGGGTAGTAGGTATAGCGGCCTCCGTAGTATAGAGGTAACGTTCCCACCTCATGACTCGTGGTACATGGGTTCAAACCCGGCGGAGGTCATGGAATTTTTAAGGGCGGAAAAATTCAGGGAACAAGTCCTCCGGGAGGGACTTTAAGCCATGGGTCCCGTGTCGTAGCTTTACGGCATGTAAAAGAACCTCATATCTCCAAAGGAGGTCACTGAGCCAAATTCAGGACGTTTCCTGCCCAACAGTAGTCTCTAACGCCTCTGATAGATGGGGGAAGCATTATAGATACCGCTAAGCCAGTAGAGGCCAAACTTGCTGGCTCGGTCGGGACTGATGGTACGCACCAATATCGGTAGGGTATAGAGACTGATAAGACTATCATAGAGGGAAGCGCAATGGACCAATACTGGTCTAAGTGCATGGGGAAACCCACCCTCTCCAATAACTAACTAACTTACTAGGGTAGTAGGTATAAAAATGCCGGTCTGCAGGGTGATTTAAATATTTAAATTGCCAGTCCGCAAAGTGTTAAAGTGGGTACAGATTAATCATGCTTGGGCTTGGGTTCATGATACTCAGCATGATTACTGCCTGCACTCTAAAGACTGGTCAGAATTGCTCTGATCTGTGAGGTTGTGCATGATTACTGTGATGTGGCTATAATATGGGTAATGAAATTCTTTTAAGTGAGTGCTGGATTCATCATTGCACATTCTGGTTAAAGAATAAAAAGGTTTTCAAAAGTAGAAATCCATATAGTGAAACTGATCTGTTTCTATTAAGTGATTTATGATTACACAGCTGACATTTCAAGACCCACGGAATGCCTCTTTCAGACTTTGATAATTAATGCAGATGGTCCTAAAATAATGAAAAAGGGTACAGCATTTTAAGTTATTCTTGCGAAGGGCAAATTTGCTGTAACATTATGTTACTTTACTACTGGAAAATCATACACCAGTTTAAACTTCCTGTTCAAATTTTCAAAACCATCTCCACCATTACATCAGGCAAATGTGTATCTATGAAGGCATATGTAAAAATAAGAATTATCTGAGTGTATGAATAACTACATTTGTGTGAGTGAAAATCATAGTAACTAGTAATACCCACAATTTTTGTTCTCTTCTCTGTTTAGTTACTCCATTTACTGTAACTTTATATTTAAATTCTTGAAATGATGATTATCCTGATTTCAAAACCTGATGGGCTGTGTAAGTAGAATTCGAGTAAATCTACAGTTCTGGACTCAAGTCATGTTGAGATGAGCCAAATGGTGCTTGCCGAGAAAATGTCATTGTTCTTGGACCTGCAGGCCTTCTGAACACATGCGTTCATGCAGAAATGATTTTCTGCTTCCTAATCCTCTGGCTCGCATTTGTGATGACTGTAGGTCCAAAACCAAGGAACCAATTTTTCTTCCATTTTAAATTCCTTTTCAAGATTATCAAAACCATTTTTCTTCACACCCAAACACACAGACTAGCCCATGTTAAAATATGTGGCATTCCTTCTTAAATCTAACTATAGCTATACTTCTTCATATAGCTGACAACAGTAGCAGTAATGGGTTTACAGGAGCTTCAGCAGAATGGTTATTCCCACCAAATGAGAACGGTGCTTACATCTTAACAGTCTGTGGAGAAATGGAACTCTCAAGTCACAATGAATACTGGCAGAAATTTTTATAATCATAAATTGTTCTATTTACACTTCTGAATGCATATTCTTTATTTGGAGATGTTCGATGTGATGTGTGAATTATAGATGGCAACAATTTTAAGAGTATTATCTCATTTTAGAAAACTTAAGATAAAATTCATCATTTGTTAGACAGTGGTGATCTTCATAGTAGCCAGAAGTTACTTACTTATGTTGTAACCGATTACTCCTTTTTAGTAATATACTTCGCCTAATTTATGCATAACTTCATTTTTATGTATCTCTTGTATTTTTACAGAACTTAAATTATGAGTTTGGGTGAATTGCATACATTACTACGCATTAGAAACTGCCGTGAACTATGTATTGAAAGAGGATGATTCTATGTCTTGTGACTTGTGAAACTCGTGATTTAGTTCTTTCTTTGTCTTATGATGGGTAATGTATGCCCAACAAGTAGGTAGCTAGGGGGTTTACAGCGGTACTTCCCACCAACAGCCAATCAGCTTGCTGAAATGGTAATATGACATCATACTGACGCTGAGATGACAAAATGTAAAGCTCTTTGTCCAAAAGAGACACTAACTTGTTTCCAAGCGGTGAAGACTTGTTCATGCACGTTCTGTCTTCACAAAAGGGGGACAAACAATTATATCCCATTATATATTCAAGTGTAACAAAATGTAATTACAGCTCAATAAATAAAGTGTGTGTGAGTGTTATAAAATTGTTGCGGTTTTGTTGAAGCCAAGGCCCACTTAACAGTCCTGGTGATAATCTCATGTTCCCCAACTGGGGTGGCGCCCAAACAACTATCAGGGTGAGGCAACATAAACAACTGCTACAGAATCGCTAAGAGGCGATTCACCAGTGCAGCTGCGTCCACCTTTACTCTTCGCAGAAGGCAGCTACGGCTCACTTTACACTTCACTGGCCAACAGCAATGCCCTACATAAGAGACTACCGGCAATAATTTATTTGCAGCAAATGATGCATTTCCCCTGTATCAGCACTATGAAAGTGTACCCCAATGCACACAAGAATAAGTCTTGAAAATAATTTAAATACAGATCATCTAGAGCATACACAATTGCACAAAATGTGTTCAAAATTTTATCTGCAGTATTTCGGGCAATGAGGAAACCTTACAGCCTGAGAAAGCACAGTCTGTTATTCTTGTATGTTTGCATCTGCATAATTATTTACGGAAATCTTCAACTGCAAGGAACATACACAAACTGAACTGGACGTCTTATTAAGCATAAGGCAGATAAGTACTTCTACAGACATGGAGATACTCATATAATGAAGGGACAATAAGTTGAATCTCAGGTTCTCAAACTGGTGACTATGAACATTATGATCTTCTGCACTGAAACACTGAACACTTCAGTACGCTGACATTTTAGAAGAACGTATCATTGCAAGCAAGAAACCAACAAGAAGCATGCAACAAGATCATCTCTGCCTGCCAAATGCTTCTTTGTGGTTTGATATTTGGCTTAGGCTCTGAACATGAAGATGGAGCTGACATATTCCTCCAAACCACTTGTGGTCTTCTACCACATTATATGGAATTACAACCCAGAAAAATCATACTCTTTAAGGGACATTAATGTTACTCTTTCCTCTGCAAAATGTTGAAGGACATCCTACACTTGCTGGAATATCAGAGACAAATTCACAAAGTACTCCTTGTACTCATCAATCAAATCTTGAACCAACTTATCAGTCCAGTCCACTACAACTAAGAACACAAATCAGTACATCAAAAATACAGTAAAGCTATACACTCAAGAGTACACAGACATTCAATCAAGACAAGAACCCTGTAAATTCCTTGTGTGTTCAACTGAGCGTATCACCATGAAGTATAATCACACAGTACATTCTGACCTATACTGATAAAGTCATTCATGTGCATAATTAAGCATTATGCCATGAACACATATGTAGGAGTGGAGGTACAACTCCACCATTCTTGACCTCAGCACTAGATGGATGCAAGTGGTCAGCTTCATGCCCCTGCCACTTTACCCCCAGGTACACAGCCTTTGGTACCCACTGAATGGGAAACTGGGTGGGCTCCAGAGCCGGCCTGGACACTGTGGAGAAGAGAAAAATTTTCTCTGCCGGGAATTGAAACCCTGGCCGTCCTACCCCGTACCTATACCCACTGAGATATCCCGATTCCTCTAAATAACAAGGCAACCAATAAAATAATAAATCAAGTAACTAATGCTACAAATAATTCCTTTTTATGAACTTAATAATAAAAAGGAAGTTTCAAATCTGTGGTACTTGCCTTCAAATTCTGGTTGCAAAATAATGAATGCCAGGGAGGTGTCTGCACAATGTAAAGATGCTACCCAAACAATGCTATAATTCTCTTTCAGGATATTTATAGCAGAGTGATGGAAGAAATGAATTTAAAGTGGTCAGAAGATGTGTAGCTTCACAACTTAAAAAGCTGCCACTACAAAATGCACTGGAACTTAATATACAGTGACACCCAGAGATGACTGAAGGTGCCAGCAGACCCAAGAGGCCATTATGCACATCCAAGCCCTTCTTCTTCATCTACTATTGCAACACACCCTTTTCCAAACACCCAAATTCCACAGCAAGTTTTCAGGCATATGGAAGAAGCAGAGTACACAAACATTCAATCAAGACAAGAACCAGGGGCCAACTAAAATGTTGTACAAACTGCAATGCATCTTGGTAAGCCTCCCTTTGAAGTACTGCCTCTCGACCCATGGCTCTAGTTAACTGTGCTCTTTGGAATCAGGCTCACGAAACTGCCCACATTTACGCAGATACACATGTTGGACCCAACTTTAGGAGAATGAAATATCACACTGGGTATACATAGTTACAGTACTTCCTTAAACAAAAATTATTTTCTGAAGTATACTCTTCATCATTCTGTGTACAAGTATAACCAGGCCAGTCAACTCTCACATACCAAAATCATAATGAAATACAAATTCAGAGGTTTTCACTGGAGTGATTGTTCAAAGTGTGGTTTCATGAGTTAGATTCCACAGAGTCCTGTTGGTGGGTACCAATATTTTGGTATGGTATATATACAAATTTTTTAATTACGTGTCTCAATTTTGCACAGCAACTATGGCTGTTTGACCATTTAATACAATGCAAGCATTCATATTTACTATAGAGTGAAAACAGTATACCTTATTTAACGCTTCCCAGAATAGAATCTCAATGTATCCTGAACATTTTATTGAGAAATGTATGCCGCACAACTGAGACTACTTGTATTTCCACCATCTGCTGTGATATCAGTAGGGTGCTTTGTTGGCCTATGGACTCATCAACCGTGCTGTAGGCATACACACTGCCAGGGTTTTTCTTGGGGAGGGAGCCACACATGTTTCCAGCAGGGAAAGCTGGGACATCTGCTTACAAACATGCACTTAAGTCATTTAAAAGTATTTTCACTGACTGCCTTGGAGTATTCAGGATAGAATTATTTCCAAGTACCTTTAATTGTAATTAATATTTACTATATTTCTCTATCAATTTTTACTTTTTCCAGAAGTCAGAGGTAAATGCCTACCTTAAGATAATTTCTGAGTGCTCTTAAACTGTTAAAAGATCAGCATACTCTTATATGATAAACGAACTTTAATAAAATAAGAACCAACCATTAATCTAACTCAGTTTTAACCTCAAATAATCACATACCTTGCTTGCTGTTCACACTATTAACAGTTTATGTATATCTGCGTGAAATGGGGTACACAATTCGCTAGTTACATACTCATTGCCGCTCATTACTATTCAAGGACCACTTCAGATATCGTACTCAATACAACACGGCTCTCCAGGTCCCACAGGTTCAACCACACAAACACACTTCTCAACATTTCCCATGCCTACCGGGTCCAGAGGGTCAAGAACGATCAAGAACTCACGCGAACTGAATAATGGTCCTTGGCAACATGGCCGCCGTGACGTCATGAAAGCATTACTTCTGCCATCTGAGATGCTGCAAAACTGGGTAAGTAAAGTAAAAAGTAAAGCTATCCCTGTACCAGGCCATGAAGATCCATAGGGTTGTGAGACGTTGAGGGTCCCGGGTCCCACACTATCGAGACCATCTAGACAATCGGCTCAAAGATGGCGGTAACGTTGTCAGGCTTACGCGCCGGCCGCGCTTTACTCCCCAGGAACATTATTTAATTCATTCCTGGTATTCATTTCTGTTAGAGGCCGAATAAACCCCAGGGCCTAGTGTGGCTGGAAGGATTAGGTCAACTGAAAAAATCCAATGACCTCATCGGGACTTGAACACGCGACCTTCCGGCTGGGTACTTTCTGAAAAGTGAGGGCCTCTAAATTCGTTCATTTAACTGTTAACAAGAAAGTGAATGAACTTTTGGTTACATTACATATATATTTTTTCACTTCATGAATCCAATTATCTCCCCATAGGGCTGAGTATAAAACATGTCACATATTACAAATTCATGACTACACATCATTCACCACTGGTCCAATAAAATACATAATGACGCCTCACACAGATAGGTCAAGTTGTCAGGACAACACATCATCATCATCATCATCATCATCATCATCATCACTGGCACGACAGCCCTTTGCAAGCCCTGGCCTTCCTCAGGATTGCTCGTCATTCTTCTCTATTCGATGCTACATTCCTCCAGTTCTTTACACCCAAAATTCTTATGTCCTGCCACACACATTCTTCCCATCTTAGTCTTGGTCTTCCCACTCTCCTATTTCCTTCTGGTTTTGTGGGAACATCCCACATATTATCACCGCGCTCACTTTTCACCAGCACGCGCGCTAACAAATAAAATTGTAAGGTCAAGGTCATGTTACAACTGACGGTCGGTCACTCTGTCTGTCTTGGTGTCGAGTCCCAGTTGGGGCTCATGACCAGATATTTCTTTTGAATGAAACTCACTGTCTTGTCTATGTGGGGCGCCCTCGCTGACGAGAGGTCGGTTCCGTCATTTGTCAGTCAGTCGGTTTTAATATGTCCACTGTCTGTATTTACATAGATTTACAATACACACTTATTTCTTACTTTTATGTACAATATATACAAGGCCTCTGTCAGTCCAGGCTCAGTACAGCAGATTACGCCCTATTTCCAGTATTATTCGCTACCACGGCACTCTAGTCACTTGAACGGTCGTATGCCTGACGACCGCCAAGTTTAAGCCTCTTATACTTTCTGTGGCTGGCTTCGCCTTGTCCAATGTTGCGAACATTCTCATTATCATGATTTTGTATGACTTCTGCTTGTTGCCTGCATAATTTTGTTATGTAATCATATACGTATTGAATTTTGAATGCCATGTGCAATTCGCGGACCGGTGTGCGCCTTGGAAAATTGCCAATCGTGCGGAGAACCTTGTTTTGCAGGCGCTGCAATCTAACTAGATGGGTGTCTGCCGCAAACTCCCAGGCGGGACTAGCGTAAGTCATTACGGATCTAATAAGAGCTTTATGGAGGGTCAATTTAATGTTAGCGCTCAATCGCTCACTTTTGAAAAAGGGAATATACTGTAATGAATGTTCTGAAGGCCTTGGCTTCGATCATTTCTATGTGTAATCTCCATGTCACTCTCTTATCGAAAATTACACCTAGATATTTTGCACTATTTACAAATGGAATATTTCTTCCGTTTAGAGTAAGACAAGACTCAGGCGGTCGACGACCACGAGAGAAGTAGACCCCCCGAGTCTTATCTTCATTAATTTTTATATTCCAGCGCTCACACCAGGTCTCCATTGAGCTGAGACCGCGCTGGAGTTTTCTAACAATAAAACCCTCTTTGCGATCTGTCGCATACAGACAGGTGTCGTCTGCAAAGAGGGCCAGGTGAACGCCCTGTGTATGGGGGGCATCATTTATATACAAATTAAAGAGAGTAGGGGAAAGAACAGAACCTTGTGGCACCCCTGCTTGCATTTCCCTTGGCGTTGACATTTCGCCTTCAACAGAGACCCTGAATTTACGTTTAGAGAGAAAGGACCCAATAAGCTTGGTCAAAGAGTTGGGGAATTCCAATTTTGATAATTTAAACAGCAAGCCTGAGTGCCACGTGGTATCAAAGGCTTTTTCGATGTCCAAGAACACTGCAGCCGTAGACATTTTATTGTTGAAATTAAGGGTCACGTGGTCCGCCAGCCTCATACATTGCAATGTCGTGCTGTGACGTGCACGAAAACCAAACTGACTTGCGTTGAGCAGGTCTCTTTCTTCAATATGTTTATGGAGGAATTTCAAAATTGCTTTTTCGAATAGTTTTCCTGTCGTGGACAGGAGGCTGATCGGACGTAAATTTTGAGGAAATTTCGGGTCTTTACCCGGTTTAGGTAAAGTTATTATTTTTGCTTCCTTCCAAGTATTTGGAAAGTGAGAGAGCCGAAAACAGTGATTGAATAAGTGAGTTAGGTGAACCAATGGTCTCCTTGGAAGGTGCCTGAGGCATTCATTTGGGATGCCGTCAATTCCACAGGCCTTTTTTAATTTCAGGGATTTTATTAATTTCTGAACGTCACATGGTCTGATCCTTAGAGGGGGGTTTTCATCCACGGCTTCCAGCAGAGCTTGAACTCTAGCCTCCACCCGCTCTTCATGGTTTTTATCGCACAGGTCATGTGGCGTGAACTGAGTTTCCAAACAGTCGGCAATTTCATTGGCTTTTTCAGAAGGATGAAATTTTAGGCCAGAAGAACCATGAATAGCAGTTGGTGCCCTTGGTCCGTCTCTCTGAAGGAGAGATTTCGCAATGGGCCATATACACTGAGGTGTGACTTCAGCGTTGCTTATTTTTGTTTCCCACCGTTCAAGTGCCTTTTTACGGGTCATTCGCCTGATTGATTTGGTGACCCAATTGACTGCCGTTTTACACGCTGGATCCCTGGTTTCTTGCCACAGTTTTCGTAGCCTCTGTTTATATTTTATCAAACGATCTAGACCAGGAAGATCGTTGTTTATGTCCGAAAGTGTAACTTTACTTGTCGACAGCCTATATGCCGAAGCAATAGAGGCTGCAAAGTCGCGTGCCGCTTTATCGGCTTCTACCCCCGAATTAATTTTTAGTTTAGGTGATATTAATTCAGAAGCGAGGCTTTGAAACCGCTCCCAATCTGTAAATTTTTCAATGGGTTCCGAAAGATTCCTAATTTTAACGTGATCCAGTATGTGGAATACTATTGGTAGGTGATCTGAGTCCAAAATATCAGAGACGATGACATCTGACACTCTGATATTTTTGTGAACCACAATGTCTAACACGTCACCATTTCCCGCAGGGGAATAATGAGTGGGGCACTGTGGTGCTGAGATTTCGAAATCACTTATATCAAATAAATCCATAAGTTTCAAGCCTGAGGGGTTTGAAACTCTGATATTCCAAAAGGGGTTCTTAGCATTCAAATCACCTGCCAAAATAGACTTTCGTCTGAAACTTAAGAGCTCAGTGATGTCAGCATCACTCCAGACTTTGCCTGGAGACTTATAAACAGCTGCAAGCAGCACTTCGCTATTACCAATTGGTATGCAGACCCTTGTCGCTTCTACTGAACCAAGGGGTGGTAGGTCTACATGGTTATGGGGAATGCCTTTTCTTACTGCAACGGCAGTCCCGCCTTTTCTGCCCGAGTGGCGGTCGATTCTATAAAAGTGGTAATTTGGAATAAAGAACCTCTCATGAGGTTTCAAATGTGTGTCTGAAAACAGGGCCACATCTATGTGTAGGTCTTGCAGCTGTTTACCGAGCTCATAGCCCTGCCTCCCAATGCCGTTCGCATTAAATGCTATGACTTTGAGAGGCCTATTAATTGTAGTGGCCATTCTGTTTCATAAGGTTTAGAACAATTTTGGTAATGACCATTATTTTGTCCTCTTCGGACACCACACCGCTGACCTCTATCATAATCTGCTGTACTACAGTCACTACTTTCAACATATTGCCGAGAGACTGACCGTTTACATTAGTAGCCTGAACTGACTGACCTGTTTCTTTCTGCAGTGCAGGAGCCGGTACAATCTGCTTCTTTGTTGTGGCTGGAGCCATCCAAACATGGCTTTCCTGAGGGCGCTGATGCTGCTCTGCTGTACTGCCTCGAAGTGCCGCCGCGAAGGAGACACCTGGAGTGACGGTGGCTGAAGCGAAAACCCTCCCCATAGTTTTGGACATTCTCTGAACCTTCCTTCTCTGTTGCTCTTCTTTGTCATGTTTGCAACCCCGATAATTGGCGGGATGTGGCTTTTCTCCCTCCGCTAACTGGCAGTTGCAGCATACTGGGGTGGAGGCAGAGTTCTCCTTTTCTGGGCATTCCTTGTGTATATGGCCACCTCTGCACCACAAACAACGTGGGGGCTGTTTGCAGTTTGCCCAAACGTGGCCGAACTGCTGGCAGGTGTAGCACTGTGTGAGCCCGCTTTGTGCTTTGTATGCCTCTGCCTTGATGGCAATGTGGCAGAGGTTGGTCAGTCGGAAGAGTTCTTGGGACTTCTCGTTTTCTAGGAAGTGTAACCAGGAAGAAGGGAAGGTAGATGGTATTTGTTCCTTCTGGAGGAGTCCGATGACTGGTCATTTGTTTGATGCTAATGACGTCAAACCCCAGACTCACCAGACCGTCAGAGATATCTTCCGCTGGAGTATTTTGGGGGAGGTGACGAATGACAGCTTTGATGGGTTTTCGGGTTTTGGAAAGTAGGAAAAGTAAGCCAAACTGCTGTCTTCAAGAAATTTCTTTATGGCTGAAAAGTCCGCCATTTCTTTTGTGACAATTCTGGTCCCACTTCTTGTGTTGCGGAACTCAAAACTGTCATTAACAATGCCTTTGATATTCCTCTGCAACTGTATCAGGTTAGTTGCAGAGGTTAGGACAATGGGAGGAGGCCTACCTGACCTGCTGCAAGATGGTTGCTCTTCTTTGTCTGATGTCTCCTCCGCGACGTCCATTTCTGTTGTCCTGAGGGGCGCAAAAAATTTTTTGTTGGCACTTCAACCCGGG